GTCCTCCTTTGCATCTCTCTACTGCGACATCTTCCTCATTTTTCACTCAAACCATCATCTAATTTGGCTCACTGCTTTTCTTCTCTTCTCATTTTGGTTCTCCTCCTCCTCCTCCTCTTCCTCCACCGTGGCACAGGGAGTGGCAGGGAGAGAGGAGGAAGGCTACATCTGGAGCTTGCATTGAATAATACATGCCAGTTAGAGCCGAGCCGAGGAGGCTGACATGGATGGAGGAGAGACTATTAAACCGGATATAGAGTTTTGATAGTGTGTGAATATGGGGCATTTATTTTGATGAGATATGAGGAGCCAGGTTGGTTACACAGTGTGGAAATATGAGATTCAATAAATCTATAACACTCACATATGCAGGACGGGAATGTTTACAGCAGGATTTTTTTATCATTGGTGCACATAGAGACACATTTATCCACATATAAGCAGCCAGTGCATGGAGTGAATGCTTTAATTTCTCATCATGTATGTGGTAGAGGTTTGACCTTGCTCTAATCTGACATATCAGAGCCCAGTGTGTGTACGTGTGTGTCCCTGTAAGCGTGTGTGTCCACTCCTGCAGGTCTAAATCTACCAGATATGAGGGGTCACTCCTGCCCTGTAGCCTGGTGACCTCATCAAACAGTGTTGAATTATGGGTAGTGGCACTTAGGTCTAACAGCTGTCTCTCTGCTGAGGGCGCAGTGATAGTGAGTCATCTCATACACACACATAGACACACACACACACACTCACAGGAACTCCCACACTCACAGCAGCTGGACTGCAGGGTAGCTGACATTTAGCAGTGCAGGGGAGAGCAGAGAGTGTGAGCGCGATCAAACAACAGAGCAGCAGCAATGATGGTACGAAACATGTCAGGATGCAGCAGAGTCAACGCACAGAAAACAGACGGCAAACTTCTAATTACCCGATACAAACAACACTTTTTTTTTGTCAGTTAATTCCTAACATGAGTCTCTATTTTCTTCTATCTGTTGATTGTCTGTTCTGCTTACATGGAGACACTCACTGGTTGGAGATCATAATGCTGTTTTGCATGATTTGCTAAAAGGAAAATTATTACAAAAGCTTTGATGTGTTAGTTCTTTGCAATTTCAGTCACCAGTTAAAGTTACTGTTTCAAAAAAATATGCAGATTTTTTCTTGTATCAGTGTGAAAAAGAAAGATAAAGGGTTTGTACTGTTTCTGTGTCAGCGCATATGTTTGAATGTGAAGGCAGAGTACATTTAGGTCACTGAATTATTCCTATTATTCTAAGTTCTGCGCAAATCTTTGGACATAAACTAAATAATGGTGAAATGTAAGACAATTGCAAAGCTAGTTGTTGTAGACCAGCCCTCCTCCTGTGTTAGAGTCTGCAACGACCCGTTTTTGATGTTAAATGCTTATAAGAACCATTTAAATAAGTTTTTTTTTGCATCCAGACTTTTTGACTTTGTCAAGAAACTCTATTTCAACAAAATAAAAAAATATATTAAATTGACTAAATTATAAAATGCTTTTATTAAAATGATGGCACTTGTCGTGTTAGGGTCGCTGTTGACTTGGTTAGATCAATATCTAATAATCAGAGCAAAAACTGAAATCATGTGTGTACTGTCAGGCACCACACTGACAGTCAGATCCTCTTCCAATCATGGGAGATTTAGGAAATTCTCATTTTTCCATGTTTTTCCCTGCACAAAAAAAACAGCCTCAGGCAGGTCCAGACATGTGATTAGTTCAGTATAGATGTCTGTGTGAGGGGTACACTGACACAGAAAGGAGAAGAGGACCACAACAAGAAATATTATAATCAATATTCTCATGGATAATGAAGCCTAACAAAGTAACGTAGAGATGAGAACCAAATTGGATGATAGAGAATTGTTTTTAGTGTAATTTACAGCTGATTTAAGACACGGGTCAAAACCGACCCTTGACATAGTGGGTGCGCAGTAAAAGCTAACACAGGAGGAAGGCTAGACTAGGCCAGGCAGTTTCTTCCAAAACTCTTTGCAGTTTCCAAATCTCATAGATCCACACCTGTCCTACAGCACCTGGCTTTCATGCTCTCTTCTTCTTCTTCTTTGTTATTCACCAGCGGTTAGAAAACAGCTCTCTAATGGGCTACAGCTGCTGTGTGCATGTGTGGGAGTTTGGCAGAAATAATGGTTAAAAAAAAAGAAGCAAATTTTTAAGATGAAAAAGTAGTCTTAGGAGCCATGTCTCTTTTTCTTTTAACAAATCAACTACTATTAGACTATTAGAAAATCTTGACTCATCCCCAAACTCTAGATTAAATCTGAAGGAGCATCTGCATGCTATAAATAGCTCCAGAATACCGGTGGTGGGCCCCATTGAGGACAAGAAAGTAGCTGGTTTTGCCTCAACTCCAAAACAGCAACATTTAGCTTTTAGCTCAGCTTAGGGAGCAGAAGAGGAAAGAAAATAAGAAGATGCTGTTGCTGCTGTGACATGCTCTCACTGTTGGGGGACTGCAAGAACTACTGACACGTGACCAGCTACCCGAGGAGACTTCAAGGACCATTTTTTCTTTTTGCATTTAGAGAAGGCAGCCATAGCATCTGTATCAAAGACTTCAGGAAAACTAAAGTTCTTTAACATGCAAGAAGTTAAAATTGAATGGCAGATAATGAGTTACTTCTAAAAACGATGTTGCTCATAATGTGAATCTCAGCTTGGTCATTTTCACTCACTGTGGGATATTAAATGCTAATCTGTTAGATAAAGAAAAACACACAAATGCAACCACATACAGATGAAGAGCAATGAAACACTGTTGCTGTAATAAACATATGAAAGTAAGAGATTGGATTGAATAAATACCTTTCAATTGTTAACCTGTAGATGTGTATCACTCACCGGTATGAATAATTGATCACACACAATGTTTCCCTAACTATCAGAGACTTTAAACACACACACACACAGTGAAATTAATGATGATGGTCTTTTCCTGGTAATGTTAGGTGGTTTGCTAAAATGCATCATCATCAACACACTTATTCAAAGCAGTTGACATAAATGGACCTGTGGATCAATAGCATGTCCGTCTGCTGAATATTTGATCAGACACCAGCTCAGGCTTAATAATTCAGCACCAGGCCTTTGGAAATGAATGATGGCTGGTTGGTGGGATGCATTCCCCCTCGGGTCATTAAACATCAACACAGTAGCCTGCTCCAAGAAGACCCCCTCAGGTCACTGTATCTGTGAAAATGTCACACGCTTCAAAAATGTCATTCAGATGTCCTAATGTGCCATCACTGGGTCTGGATCTGACTGACATGCATTGTGTGACTTTTATATTCTACTTTAAACCATTTAAGGTGATTTATGACTGCAGCTATTTTTACAGCCTATTGATCTGCGACATGACTTTGAAGCATTTACCGGTCAAATTACCAGGACAACAGTGAGGTACATGTATGCTGACTCATTTACCTTAACAACTAGCTGTAGTGGCTGGTTCAGAGCTGCCAAGCGTCACGCTTTGAGTGTAACAGTCATGAAATTTGACCCATTCTCACACCTCACAGCACACTTGACATTCCTCATTCCGAAAAAATAAATGCCGCAATATCGCAGGACAGGAAAATGTTGCTGATGTGAACGCTTGTATTGACAGGATACGAGTTCTAAAAAAAAAAATTGACATGCGAAATAATCGCACGACAAAAACGGTCCCAGTGTGAAAGGATTTTAAAGGTATAAACTGACATTAAAACAGGCCAAATTTTTTTTAACACATCATAACGCTAAAGTCTCACTCGTGTCATTTTCTGAAACTGCAGTCCTGCTGGTTTTCAGGGTTTTTTTAATAGCTTCGAGTTATTTAATCAACTCTTAAAAAATAAGCAGCCAGCAATAGGAATAAACCTCAGCCAAATTATGTTTTTTTGTTGTTGGTTAGACATATTATGGGGTTTCAAACCACTAATCCACAGCATAAATAGCAAACACAATGTTGTTTAATTGCAATATTGATCATTTACAGCATTAGAAAAGCCTTTTAAGCACTTACTTGGCAGCATTTTTTTGTCTTTAATTTTGTCAGATTTTGTTACCACACTCGTTTTACCTCGAGTGTTACACGGTTTATGCTATAACGTATAGCATGCTGACGTCAGCACAGGGGGCGTAATGTGTGATGTGCCACCCGGGATGCAGGTTGTTAAGGGAAGGTCCTGCCCTCCTTCACCTCTGATTGGCTATAAGTGCTGACCATTTGGCTTGAGCGTGTGATGACGTTTCCAGCTTTTTTAGGACTTTCCCCTGGAAAAGTTTTATCCGGGATGTGTCTTTTTCCCCCCGAAAGTTGCATCGGGCTTGATGTGTATAGTCAGGCGCGTCAAAATTCACCTCCAAATATTTCGTGATTTTGCGTTCTATATTCGTGTTGGCTCCGATGTGTAAGGACTCTTATACTGCAGTCCGTCACCAGAGGGTGCTGTTCTCGGAGTGCTTCACCCAGCGAGGAGGCAGACGCTGTCTATTCTACACAGTCTATGGATATCACAGCTAGGCTTCAGAAGAAAAGTGTTTATTTTCATTGATCTACGAAGAACATATCCTACTCTTCTTCATTAAACTGTCCCAACATCCCTGACTTCTCCCTATGGGCCCACATGATTTTAAAAATATAATTACTGAAAAAAGTAGCCTAAACAGAGAGCTAAAAGTATGATGGGTAGAGTAATGACAGGGACATTTGCGGGCATACTGTGGCGATAATCCTCGCGCCACGGTTGGATCACTGTTAGTCACGCGGGAGGGCTAAAACAATGACGTCTGGTCAGCTCGGTGTCTGTGTCCGAAAAAAAAAAACACACACAGAAACAAACTGGATGAATAAAAAACACACAGTGTCTCGCAGTCACATGTCGTGCAGTGGGCTGCTGAATGATTTAAAGCGTTTTACATCATCGACCTCACCCTCCCTCCCTCCCTCCCTCGTCGCGCGGCTCTCTCTCTACTGATGCACCGCGCGCGCAGCCCGGAGATGCTGCTGCTGCTGCTGAAGCTGGTGACCGACTGCAGCATCCGACATGGGCATCCTTTAATCCGACCGAGCTACAGTGAGTGCTTTTCCCTTCACTTTCACCCTCGTCACCTCCAATTACAACCCCCTCTCCTCCACTACCTCCCCTTCCTCACCCCTCGTCCCCCCATCTCTATATTATTGTCTCCCTTTGTGCTCTTTCTTTCACGAGCGATGGCGCATAACTCGGCGAAAACGGCGCGTCCTCATAGAGTTAGAGGTGAGGAAATAGTGCCTTCTTCCTGTTTGTAGACTACACCACACCTTTGCGTCGTTGCGTGAGAAAAGAGGAGAGTTTAGGGTGGGTGTCGCTTCTCCCCGTGGACCGTAGAGCCGCAGCAGGCTGTGTGAGTGTGTGTGTGGAGGGACCGGGGGAGTACAGGAGGAGATAGACGGAGTGGTGGCTGGGACTCGACTGAGAGAGGGTGGGACGTTCGCTGAAGTGTTTTTGCAGGTGAGAGCGTGTGTAGTTGTCGCTTTAGGTGTGTCAGAGGGACAGGAGGGGAACAAAGGAATGATAATGAGAGTTGCTGTGTTGTTTTTTCATGGGATAGGAGGAGATTTAATGATGTTTTAGTGCAGCGTTTTCTTGCTTTTGTTTGTCCTGGGGTGGTGCTAGAACAGCATGCTGTGATGGAGGGATAAACAGGCCAAAGTTAGCCAATCTGAAGGAGGTGCAATACTCATATTTATATCGGAGTTCCTTTTATCTACTGCTACACCTCATATCTATCTATCTATCTATCTATCTATCTATCTATCTATCTATCTATCTATCTATCTATCTATTGCTGCTGGTTTTGTGTGTGTGTCTATGAGAGGACAAGTGCACTCAGACACTGAAAGCCTCAAGCTGTAGAACTGGGCTAATCCCTAATGACATGGCCAGATCTCTTCTTTTCTCTCTTTCTCTTCTGCCATAAGGTCTTCTCTCGTTTTTTTTCTTTCTTTTTTCCCCCTATTTAATTCTGTCTTTCCCCTCTCTCTCTCACTCTGTGTTGTGATGACGTGCTGTCCGTGGTGCTGAAAACAGCCGTCAGCTGGTTCGCCTGCTAATACGCTTGAGCTTGATGGTCCTGTCAGTGCTCAACAGGTGCACATTACTCCCCCCAGAAGAACCATCAATTCCATCACTGAGGGCTGCTTGGAAATGTTGTTTATCGGTACATAAATTCATTGATTTGTGGAGTTTGGATGGCACACAGCTGTAGGTTTATTCTTGATAATGGTGTTTTATCTGCCAGGGCTGCAAAATAAAAAGTTTATCCTGATCACAACATGAGTATTTTCAGCGATAATCCGAATGAATCATATTAGATAAGACAAATTGTTTTTATGTAAATGAGCAAGACCTTTTTGCTCAACATAATTTGCAAATTGGAGCAAGGCCTTGGGATAATAGCCATAATCGCACCACTTTTGAGGCATTCAGGTGCAGCTAAAGCCATATATCTTCAACCTGCACTCAGATTAACCTAGAAGAAAAGGAGATTTATTCTGGATTTATGAGAGAAGGTGAAGGACTTAAAAGTGTATGAAAAAAAACTTGAAGAACAGCAGATAGACACCATCATGAAAGTAATTTGCTGTACTTTACTTTTAATTCTACTTCTTTCACATATCTTGCACACCTACTTTACTCAAAAACTGATCAAACTTTTAACTTAAAATATTTGTAGCATCATTTTTAAAACGTTGTCCATAAAAATCTATTCCTGTCGTCAGTGTAACTTTACTATTTTAGTATGTTTTTCAGCTTGTTATTGCAGTACCATACAGCCATCATACAAACCCTGGCTGGACATGTAAGAAACTGTACTGACGTATTTGCACTAATGAGAAGTTTCCATAATCTGAGGGTAAAATTAGTCCCGGTCAAATCAGTGGATGTCAAGAGAAAGAAAAAAACAAGATGATGCATGAGGCTGGAAACAACAATAACACTTCGAACTACATGATTGCATAACTGACCAATTTAGCAACTGCAGTTCGTCTGCCTGAATATCACTCACCCACAAATACACAATCGCATTCACAATCACACAAACAGCTCCTAACACATCTAGGTCTCACATCAGAGTCACATGTTGGGCTGCGTCAGAGGAGCAGCTCCAGGCACAGTGGCTCGGGCCTTACTTGAGGATATAATGAAGTATGTCTTATTCCAGTTTAATCCAGACGCTCAAATTTGGATTTGACTTCATATCATTATTTGGACGAATCTGTCCCTTTTTCAAGTCATAAAGTTTACTATAGTGGATCACTTTTTTAAAGTCAAGCTTCATAAACAGCTGCTCATACTATTTTTGCATAAAGGGAGCTGACTCTTAAGTGGATTTGTCAGCAAATTTTCTTACCGGCTGGTCCAGCAGCTGAATATTTAACACTAACTTGAAAGTGTGCAGTTGGTTTTGAAAGCTGTAATAGCCAAAACCTGGAGATTTGTTATAGTAGTTACTGTACTGTTAAAAAGTGAGCCACGATTTTGATCAAACTGAGTGGAAATGATCATTTTCTGTCACTTATCGCCCACAAGAAACCCCTTAGATGTTTTCGCCTCGTTTTCACAGTTTCATTTAATTCATTTTTGTGGAAACTTTGTATCTTTTCAGAGTTATGAGTCACAATACAAAATGCAGTCAACATCCACAATCTAATCTCAAGTCTGTATTTATTTGCGATGCCTCAGCGATCTCATCCGTCAGTATTAGAGATAAAAGATGCAGAGTGAATGCTTAAAGTGTGTCTCTGCAGGTGCGTTTATAAGAAAATGATGTGCGCTTGAGAGGATTGAATATTTATGAGCCCGTTTAGAACAACAACACATTTTGTCGGAGTAAATACTTCACATTTATCAATAAAAGTTGTAAAATCTCACATTAAAAAATCGGTGTGACTCATGCAGCCAACACACACAAGCTTTTGTGTTTATGAATGGTCGCCTGGTCCTCGCCGCCCTTTCTCCAAATGATGCTACTGAGCACTGACGTCAGCGCTGAACCTGCCTGCGCATAAAGGCCAATATAATGAGGAGCGAGCGCACACACATGCACGCATTGTCTCTCTTTGTTTGTGTGTGTTTGCAGCACACACACAAACACTCATGCTCACCTCTTTTTGTTGTCTCAACAAGCACCGCAGGCAGAAAAACAGAGGGAGAGACAAAGAAAGAAGGGGCAGAGAGAGGCTGGAGGGGCTCTTAGTGGGCGGTGGGCCTGCCTTGATCATTATCATCACAATGTAACCTGATCACTCTTACAGATTTTTGTGACTCTGGTATCCCAACATGCACAACTGTTGTTCAGAGAACTCTCTTAAAGAGAAAACAGGAAACAGAAAGGAAAAGAGAGCAGATTATAGTAATGGTCGGTTTGCTGAGACTTGTAATGACTTGTAATTACTTTGCTTTCAAAGGTCAACACTGATTGGTCACCTTTGAGTGTTTCTAATTGCTGTTTTCTGAAGAAGTAACTTCCAATCATTTCAGAAACAGCAGTAAACGCAGACAGAGGCGTTCCGCATTGATTAACTCAATCAGTCTTTGTGTGAAGGTTCAGGGTAGCTACAAACTTAAAGAGTGGTTGAAAAGAAACTATTCCATGTCTCTAAGCTTGTTCCCAATTACCCCCCATTAAACTCTCCTCCTGGTCTTTTCTAGCCAATCCTCAGTTTAGAGCGGCCTTTAAAAAGACGGCAATAAGACGTAGAGAACTGAGAAAAGCAGAATGACAGAACAAAACCATCAGGGACAAGACTAATCATTTTTACACCCTGAAACTGTTGCAAGGGGACGCTAAAGCAACAACCCTGTTTTTCAACTCGGTATATTCCTAATAAATTAAAAACTTCACTGTAAAAAGTCAGAACTAAAACATGCAGAGGACAAGACCGTCCACAGGAGGCGCCAAATTTGACACAAACAAAAAGTTTGTGCTTAGCTTAACTTTAAAGAGCTAAAAAGTGGTATCTGGATTTCAGGTTGTGGTTGGTAGTGCTACCATGGCAACAATGTTACTACTAGCCAGTTTAAGGGTTGAATTAAAGGTATAGGGCTCTATTTTCGTGTCCGCCGGTGACGCGGCGTCATTTACGCACAGGTAGTTCCGATTTTAATGCCATTATTGGAATTTATGTTGTGATCTGTGCACACAACCCACCTTTGTCACGTGAGGTTTGAATATATGCAACTTTATGTGATTGTCTTTATTTGTGGAAAAGGGTGTTTGTCTTACCAGTGGGTACAACCTCAAACACACCAAATCCATCTGTGCTTATATATCAGTGTGGAGGACGCCAAATGCAGCGCTTACAGCGACACCTGTTAAGAGGGTGCCTTCTGTTGCCATTGTGTGGCATTGCTGTCTTCAGACATCTCTTGATCTCTTTGACTACTTCACGAAAATAGTAATACGCCTCGCTGGTGGCGCATTTAAAGGTGAGGGGAGGAGCTGATGATATTGGTCAATACAGGTCACGGCTGTGTTAAACCCACTCCACGCCCTCTCTCCTCCCTCCCTACGACTTATGCCGCTGGGAGGAGCTGAGTTGGGGAGGGGGAACACTTACGCTGGGCTGCGCCACTTTCCAAAATACCAAATTGTGCTTTGGAACGCCTTGTCGGCGCAGCAGACCTGACTTACGCCGCGCCTGCGCCATGTTGCCAGCGAGGCACGGAAATAGAGCCCGTAGTGGGTAGTATGCAGCGGGATTTAGTAGAACAAACTTAAAGTTGGATATTATGTCCATAAGTATATTTGAATGAGTGAGGTTAATCTTATTTTGTTAACCTAAAAAAAGCTTATCAACTATCTCTGCATAGAAATCAGAATTTACATTAAAAAATAAATAAAATTAACTATAGACAGTGTGTTAGATGTGCTGCAATCATTCCACATCATGATTTGATGGTTTGACGTGTGTGCAAATGTTGTGACATTCATTTAATTTTTCTATTCAGACTAAACAAACATTGTCAAGGGGTTTTGGCCAATCAGATTCAAGTATTTGACACAGCTGGGTGATTTCAGACAACAACTCTCGAACACAAAAGTCATTAATGACGGCTCAAAATTTAAAATTCACAATAATAAAATCATGTTACTTGAGGAATCGCTGAAATATGAAATGTTTATTGTGAAAATGCTGCAAGATAACTACCTCACCGGGTTATTTTTTACCCTTTGAATGATAAGAAACGTTAACATGAATAATTGAAGTCAGTCTGTTTCGATAATCTTTGTGACACCAATAAAAAATTCCCAGCAAGCGTCAATGGGCGCCTTCACAATACCTTTCATTCTTTGGGAGAAGAAATTGGCGCTGAGTCTATTTTCACTGTAAAAGTCAGTGCCATTGTTGGAAGGAAAAAAACTTTTTGGACAAACACTGCAGT